TACCACTGAGCCACACCCCAGCCCCTCACTGGGGGACTCTAGGCAGGGACTCTACTGCTGAGCTCCATCTCCAGCCATGGGTTGCTTTCTAATTTTTAATTTAATAAACAACAAGCACCGTACCCACTGAGCCGTCTTGCAGGTCTATGACTTGCTTTTAAAATGCTATCACAGTCGTTTATTTGTGTGTTTGTATGCACATGTGTGTGTGTGAGGGTGCACACGTGCATGGTGTGTGTGGAGGTCAGAGGACAACGGCCAGGAGTTGGTCCTCTCCATAGTGTAGGTCTAACCCAGGTTTTTAGGCTTCATGACACTGAGCCATGTCATTGGCTCCTGATTTCGGTTTATTATATTATGGTATGTGTAAACGTGCCCAGGATGTGTGAACAGGTGATGGCACACACATGCCATTACATGTGGTGATCAGGGGATAACCTCCGGGACTCAGCTTGATTCTTCCTCCAAGGTTCCTAGGAATGGAGCTCAGGTTGTCTGGTTTGTGGGAAAGGCATTTTAACCTGTTGGGCCACCTCAGGGATCTTTATTTTATTTTATTATTTTAATTTTATTTGAGACAGGGTTTCTCTGTGTAGCCCTGGCTGTCCTGGACTCGCTTTGTAGACCAGGCTGGCCTCCAACTCACAGCGATCAGCCTGCCTCTGCCTCCCCGAGTGCTGTGATAACAGGTGTGCGTCACCACACCTGGCTTCACAGACCTTTCTTTAGGGCCCTCCTTCTATATACTGTCCCTCGCTGCCCCCTGGAAACCCATGTCCCCGAGATAGGAGGGTTCCAGAGTCCTGTCCCCAGGACCGGCTAAGCCCTCGACATCCTGGGTCAGATGACCTTGTAGTGGCCCGAGGAAAAGCAGTCGCCCGGCAGCCAGCACTGTGCCTGGGTCTGGGGCTCCCTGGCTCTGACCCTGCCCCCTCTCTTGCAGTTCATGGCATCTCACGGGAACATGGCCGCCAGAGCCGCATTCGAGTCCAAAGTACCGCCCTTCTTCTACCGCCCCACGTTCTCCGACTGCCAGTGAGTACACAAAGGGCTCTGTCAGGGCCCTGGTAAACATCGCTGGGCCTGGCCCGGGGTGGCACTGGGCGGGCCAGTGGGGCAGTCAGTGGGAGCTTCGACTTTGAGTATTTGGAGAAAGCTTATGGCACAGGTCCGCAGGAGCCCAGCAAGAAGGTTGTGTCCCTCTGGCTATGTCCCTCCCTGCAGTGGAGACATCCATCCATCTCTGTGTCCATCTATGTGTGCATGCATGTATCTGTCTATCTTCTGTCTACCTGTCTGTCTCTCTAGCTACTTGTTTGTTTTTCATTTACGGAAAAGTCTTGATCTGATCATAGCCAAGGCTAGCCTGAAACTCCTCACCTTTCTGCCTCAGCCTCTTGAGCACTAGGAACAGGCATGACCCACCATCCTGGTTTTACTGCCTGTGGCTACTGAGTGGACCTGGATGCGCTGGGCGCCATCACTGTGTCCCCTTGGGGTCTTTGGGTCATGAGCCTCTTGGATGATCCTCATGGCCCGGTGGAGGATGTAAGAAGCTGGTGAGACCAGCCACCTGGTATCAAGAAACTGCAGGAAAACAAAGGAGGTAGTTATCTGCCTCCTCTCAGCCTCGGTTTCTTCATCTTCCAAGGGAGCAGGGACACTGACAGAGAGAATAATAAGGCAGTGACAACTGTGGGCTTGCTCTGCTCCTACTGGCTCCTGGGTTCCCAGCCCTAGCTCTCTGTGTAAGCCTCCCCCTCCTGGCATGTGGGAGGGGGAGCTGTATCTCTCTTGGCCCTTGCCTGGGGCACACCTCCATGAAACCCCCTTCCGGCTCTGTGTGGCACTATCCAGCTCTTGGGGCATGGCTCTGTGTGGTACCTCTCAGTCCCCCAGAGCTGGGGCCCCTTTAGATTCACCGTCCTTAGATTCTCCACTGACTTTCCTAGTGGTCTCAGGGTTTCTTCAGGGCAGAGCAGGACAGAGCATTCCACCTTGTCTGTCTTCTGGGTGCCTGGCACAGCCACCCCTGTGGAAGTCAGGCAGAGTGGCTGAGCCTAGCCACTGGGGCACCTCTGCTCATGAGGTACCGTGGCCACCCAGCTTAGGTGCTGGCCATCTCTCCCCTTTCAGCTCCTGAGTAGCCCTGGGCCTTTCCCCAGCAGAGCACTGTAGCTCACCATAGCTCACTGTATTCTCTGAACAAAACGGGACTGAGGCCGGTCATGGCCCCTGCTCTGATGACCCGGTATGTGGCCAGAGAGCTCCGACTTGTGGACACAAGGCCTTCAGTCCACCCACTGTAGCCCCTGATGTGAGGCTCTGGGCCTAGAGTGGTTGAGAGAGCTCCTGGAAGACACAGGGGCAGGGATCCACACTGGAAATCCCCAGTCTGTGGGCAGGCAGAAGCCACCCTGACGTGGGTCAAAGAGAGGCCAGCCTTGAGCCAGCTGCACGGCCGTGCAAGTTGCTTGTCCTTCTGGAACTTTCCAGGAGGAACTTTTCCTTTCCTAGACCCAGGGTGAGAGGAGACCTGACCCCTCCCCTGAGTGCAGTGACCCCTCTGTGTGCTCCCTTTGCACCCTGCCTTTGCCCCTCATTCCCGGCCCTGGTGTGGTTAGCTCTGGCTCCACCTGAGCCGCACCCAGGCTTGTGTTTGCTCAGCGTTTTTCTTGAATTGACTCACTTTGTAAACCCAAGGTCCTGGGGTGACCTACCCCACACACCCTGGTAAGGGAACCTCCAGACACCTGGCATGGGAGGGAGGGAGGTCACAGCTCCCCAGTGAGGTCCCCAGACTTGGGCACCGCAGAGGAGAGGGGATCTCCTTGAATCTGTAGGAGATGGGAGGCTGGGAGGAGAGAAGGGGAGAATGGCAGCGGGAGAGGGTGTCACAGTCCTGATTTCCTGATTGCAGAGGAGAGGCTGGGGTGTGTCTGGGGACAGGTGACTTAGAAGGAAGAGGTGAGGGGTGGAAAAGAAGGAAGGAGGGAGGAGGGGGAAGGAAAAAGAAAAAGGAAGAGCAGGTGCATGAGGAGAGAGAGGAGGGAGAAGAGAGTGAGGGTAAAAGGAGAGAGAAAGGGGGAGGAAGCAAGGGTGTAAAAGGAGGGGGAAGGAGTGTGGGGAGAAGGAAGAAGGGGTATAGAGAGAGGGGAGGAAGGAGAGAAAAGGAGAAGGAGGCAGGAGTGTAGGAGAGGGACAAATGGGGAGGAAAGGAAAAAGGGAGGAGGAGAGGGAGGAGCATGAAGAGAGAAGAGGGTAAAGACGGAGAGAAAAAGGAGGGAGGAAGGAAGAGGAGGAAGATGTGGGAGTGTGAGGAGGAGGGGAAGAAGAGAGAAGAGAGGGAGGAGGGGAGAAAAAGGCAGGAGTGTTGGGAGAAAAAAGGAGGAGAAAGAAGAGGGAGAGGAGGAGGCAGAAAGGAGTAGGGAAGAGAAGATGGGAGTAGGGAAGAGGGAGGGTCCCTTGTGGCACACCATGGGTCCAGTGTGGGGCTGTGTGGTGGACGAGAAGCTGCCATGCAAGGTGACAGGCAGCCCTGTCCGCGTCTACACACTATCAGACACTCACCTGGCAGGCCCGGACTCAGCGTGAGTTTTCACATCTCACCGGTCTCAGGAGAGAGAAGCCAGACCCTCGCTGGGCCTCAGGCCCTATTGCCCTGCCCCATGCATTCACCTCTACGAGGGGCTACCCGGTGGGGGGGCACACCTAGCCCTCCCCTACAGGTGCCTGTCCCCAGCCTGCCCGTTTCTCAGCACAGCTCAGGGAGCCCATGCTGTAACCAGCTCTTCTGAGGCCTGGTTTCTGTCACCAACTGCTCTGTGGCCAGGGCCTTCTGCACTTCTGCCACCACTTCCTGGCCTGGGCTGAAATGGTCTGCACTGGTACAAGAAGGTCACCTGGCCCATCTTCCTACATGGCGGTGCTGGCCACTGGGCCCTCTCCAATGGTGGCATAGGAGTCCGTGTACAGACTGGGTGCTGTGACAGAGGCCATGCACGAGCCTCTGTGACCCATGCGAGCGTGTATGGTGGGTTCTGAGGGTTAGCATTGCCTAAAGGAGACCGTGTAAACCGCAGGGCCCAGGCAGGGCTAGCTGGGGCATCTGACCACCGATCGCTGTTGAGGACAGTGCGTGCGGGGTGTGACGCTGGAGTGGAGATGCCTGTGTGAACTGCACCGTGCTGGGTAACTGCCGTGCGCTGGCGTGCTCTGGTGTGAGAATGAGGCCCTGAACTCTAACCAGCCTTGGGGCCTGTCAGAGCAGATTGTGTGTCATCAGATTGTCCCAGCCACAGTCCCGGTCTGCCCCCCGCCCTGGTTCAGGGAGACACACGGCGGCGGCTGTGTCCTGTAAACCTTCATGTCTTTGGAGACGGAGCTGCATCTTGCCTTTTAGGGACAAGCTAGCCGTGACTTCTCCCAGCACTCTTCAGTTCTGATCTCAATGTCGGTAGGCACATTCCTCTGCCACTTTAGTGTGAAGCTAGGGCCTCTCTCTGCGTGGGCTGAGATGGAGCCACACACTCGGGAAAGCCAGTGGTCACAGCGAGATCTTAGGGTTCCCCGACAGTGCCCCCGCCAGCACCCCAACAGTATTCTGCCACAGTTTCTTCAACACCCAACTGGAACTGTGGAAGCAAGGGTAGCAAGGACACAGGATGGCTGCGGTGGCTGAGCGCTTGCCTTAGCGAGCTGGGTCCAATGCTGAACACTTCGAAATTAAAACTATTTCACTCTCCCAGCATCCCCAGCTGCAAGCCTGAGGTCGAGATCACCTCTTCCTGCTGCTGTCTCCATCTCTGTGGGTGTCTGAGTCATCAGTTGTACTGTGCTGGGCCAAAGGCCATAGGATGGCCTCTCCTTGACGTGATTTCTCTAATCTGTTTGCAAGTGAGGCTGACTCATTGGTCCTGGGGTTCAGGACCATACCATAAGACCTGGAGTTTGGTAGAAATTCAGTTACAGCAGCCTCAGAATTCACACAAGTTGGCCAGCCTGGGATGGGTAGAGATGATCTTAGCAAGGCCTCACTGTGCTGCCACAATAAATAAAAACAAGCAGAGCACCTGGGTAATCAGGTCCCTGTGCATATGCATGTGCAATATTGAGAACACATCACAGAGCCTCATGCATGCTGGGTAGACACACTTAGCCACATCTTTTGCCACTTACTGGCAGATCCTAGACAAGCACCCACTACTGGTCAAGACTCCAAACCTCTTACTGGGGCATTCTAGGCAGGAGCTCTACCACTGAGCCACATCTAGCCCCTTACTGGGGAATTCTAGGCAGGTGCTCTACCAGGGATTCTAGGCAGATGCTGTGGAGGCAGAATCTACACAAGTGCCATTTCTGGTGTGCACTCTACTTCCCAGCTGTGGTTTTGATAATACAACCCCCTTTAAAGAGGGTTAGAGTGCAGAGGGGGGCAAAAACTAGGGGAATGGGGGCCCAAAGAGAGGCCACCATATTCATGGGGCAAGTTCAGGGCCTGGGCTGGATGTGAGACTCTCCAAGGGTTGCTAGCAGCTGGGAACCTCAGGGAAGGCCATGAGAGGAGACATGCCCTAGGGCTCTGAGCAGGCAGGGAAGTGGGACTTTGTCCCCTTGTGGACTTGCACCCTGGGAAATTGAATTAGTTAGTTTTCTCTTGCTGTGACAGAACACCATGGCCAAGGCAATTTATAAACAAAAGAGTTTAATTAAGCTTATGGTTCCAGAGGGTTAGAGTTTTGTTGTTGTTTTGCTTTTTGCTTTTTTTTTTTTTTCAAGACAAGGTTTCTGTTTCTTGGCTGTCCTGGACTTGTAGACCACGCTGGCCTTGAATTCACAGAGATCCGCCTGCCTCTGCCTCTCCAAGTGCTGGGATCACAGGCATGTGCCACCCAGCTTTCTGGGCAGGTTGTTAAACGAGTAGAGCATCTGTGTAATGAGGTGTGTGTGTGTGTGTGTGTGTGTGTGTGTGTGTGTGTGTGTGTGTTATTGAAGACACTGAAATAGCACCTAAGAGTGTATATCTTGACCCACAAGCAATTCCACCAATTGGAAACTAAGGATTCAAACATATGAGCCTGTGGGGGTCATTATCATCTAAACCTCCACATTCCATTTCTCCCATCCCTAGGCTCTTGGCCATACCATAATGCAAAGTGTATTGACTATGGCTTAAAGTCCCCATAACAAGTCTTAACCAACATGGCTTCTGAGACTTGGGGCGACCTCTTAACTGTAACGCCTGTAAAATCAAAAGCACAGCACACACTTCCAACAAACAATGGCACAGAACATACATTACCATCCCAAAAGGGAGGAACAGGGGCACAGTGAGGAAATAATGGCCCAGAGCAAGGCCAGAACACAGCAGGCAAACTCCTGTAGCTTCATGTCTGATGTCAAAGAGCTTCGCTGCTTCTTCCCTTCCACATTTGCTGACTATAACATCTCTCTCTCTTTCTTTCTCGCTGCTCTCTCACTCCTCTTCTCTTTCTCTCTCTCTCTCTCTCACTCTTGCTCCCCTCTTTCTCCCTCCCGGGTCTCTCTTGCTCTCCCGCTCTCTCCCTCTCCCTCTCTCTTTCTCTCTCTCACTCTCTTGCTCCCCCTCTCTCCCTCCCGGGACTCTCTTGCTCTCCTGCTTTCTCCCTCTCTCTCTCTTGCTCACCCCTCTCTCCCTCCCCTGGTCTCTCCCTCTTGCTGTCCCGCTCTCTCGCTCTCTCCCTCTTGTTCTGTCTCTTGGGTTGGTTCCACTCCCTGTCTGTAGCTCTTCCTGGAAGGTCACCCACAGCTCTGGCATCTCCAACATCATGGGGTCTTCAACACAATCCAGGTCTCCTTTGAGCAGGATGTTCTCAGAGCTTCATGCAGTGATACCCTTGCCACCACGCCTGGCTGCAGGAGCTTTCCTTGGCCATGGAAGATTGCACAACCCCCTTCCTAATGCATCCTTCAGGATCCGACAGCCAGAAACACACGGCCAACGCTGCCAAGCTCAGCTGCCTGCTTGGCGTGAACCCTGGATCCCTCTAATAGCATCTGCACCTGATTTTATTTACTATTGCTTTTTAAGAGCAAGACCTTCCTGGGGCCTTTTATTTTCACAGGCTTAGTGGGGAGGGGTCTTGCCCTGAGGATACCCCTCCCTTTATTCCAGTGAAGATCAAGGTCTGTCCTTAATGGCCTCATCTCCCTCTGTACGACTCTCAGGGCTAACATTAAATTCTCTTGCACTCTGCTTCTCTTCAAACTGTACATTTTGTGTTTCTTTCAGACCTCTGAGAACTCCATGAGAGCTGTAACTAATAACCACACAACAGAACCACCATGAGGTGTCTCAAAATCTCTTCTGCCAAAAATTACGCTGTTGTTTTTCAATTTAGCTTCAGGCATATTCTTAGGACAAGGGCAGAAGACACCCAAATTCTTTGCCAAAAATATCACAAGAATGGTGTCTAGGTCAGCTGCTAGTACTGGCCTCCTCTGAAGCCTCTTGAGTTGGACTTCCATAGTCCACACACTCTCAGCACGACTGTCGTCCGAGCTCCTGGTAGGAGCCCACTAAGCTCTGCTTATCGCACTTAACAGCTTTCCTATTCCAAAGCCCCAGAGTTTTCCAATTTCCTCCAAAAAAAAAAAAAAAAAATCCAATTGATTAGGCCTGTCACAGCAATAGCTCACTCCCTGTTACCAACTTCTGTCTTAGTTCCTTTTGTTATTGCTGTGAAAACACACACACACACACACACACACACACACACACACACACACACACACCACGACCAACGAGACTTATATTTTAAAAAGATTTAAAATTTTTTTAAAAATTTAATTGGGCTTCTGGTCCCAGGGGTTTAGGGTTTATAATGGTGGAGCCACGGCACAGGCGTGGCCAGCCAGAGTACCACCTGAGAGCCCACGTCTCAATCTGCAAGCAGGCGGCAGAGAGCTAACTGCGAACGGCCTGAGTCTACGCCTAATGCCACAGCTCCTCCAGCACGGCTACACCTCCTTATCCTTCCCAAGCGGGTCCACCAGCTGGGGACTAAGTATTCAAACATATAAGTATCCAGACACGGGAGCCGGCGGGGACACTTTCATCCAAGCCCCCTCAGTCGTGGACCGTCATCATCTGTCCGGCCCTCGGTTGTCTCTGCATCCCGATACAGCAGCCAGCTGTGCTCTTCCTCTGGACGTGTGTTTCAGGTTGAAAAGATGTATCGTGGTCCTTGGGTACGGAAAAGGGATTGTGAGGCTCCTGCAGCCTGCTGCTGACACTGAGGACTCAATCTCTGGGTCAGGGGGCCCTGAGCCTCTGTGTGGGTGCCACTCTGAACCCCCACAGCACCAGCCTCACTTCCTCGTGGCCATGTGGAGGGTGTGTGCTGGCCTGGGTCAGTGTATGTAATATGATAGCCAATATATGGACTCTCCTGATGTGGAAGGTCTTTGTGGGAAGACTCATGACTCAGGCAGGGTCCTGGCACATGTGGTCACAGACGTTCCCAAAGCAGGAAAGGAGCTGGCTCCTCCCAGGCCACAGCCACACAGGGGGCCAGCTAATGTCCCAGAAGCTGCATCGTCCTGACCCATGGTGCCCTGGAAGGCAGGCGTCTTAGGAATAAGACTAGTGCAGATGTAAATAGGAAAAAAGAGGGTGACACTGTGGAAGAGTGACTGTGTTTGTTTGTGGTGGGGTCTCCTGTTGGGCAGCCATGTTCATCCGTGCTTCAGGCAGATAAGGGCCATTGTGACTCCGGTGATGGAACCGTATTTCTGCCTCAGTTTCCCCCATCCCACAGCTTCCCCTAAGACTTCAGGGACATCCATTAGTTAGGGGATGTATATCTCCGTATGTGTGTATATGTGTGTGTGTGTGTGTGTGTGTGTGTGTGTGTGTGTGTGTGTGTATGTGTGCAATCTTGGATGTCATTCCTCAGGCACTATTCACTTTATTTCTTGAGATGGGGTTTTTTGCTGTCCTGGAATCAACAACTCCACTAAGCTGAGTGGCAGGGAGCCACAGGCACTCCCTGTCTTCTCTTTGTGCTGGGATTACAGGCATGTATCTGGCTTTTTAAGGTGGCTGTGGGGGCTTGAACTCATGCCTACAAGGCAAGTACTCTACCTACCGAGCCATCTCCCCAGCCCTCTATGTTCCGAGCACTATCGCCCTGTATTGGCCGGGAGGCCATTTTCAAGGCCTCGCCAGCAAGGCTAGTAAAAGGTAGTGAAGGCAGGAGATGGGGCTGAGCCATCCGTCCACACAGGAAGGACAAGATGGTACTGCCATGAGCTTGGGAGCTCACATTCACACAGCCAGATAGTAAAGTGATGCTGTGGGGATGGTCAGAGTCGCCATACTCAAGGCCTCTGTGAGGGGGTGGGTGTCCAGCAGAGCTTGATGGTGGGAAGTCCCACACGGGAGCTACGGCTTGAGGAGGTGGAGATGTGGCCAAAACCACAGGGGTCACATGGCACTCCGGTTTCATTTCTGTTGCTGTGATAAAAATACCCTGACAGAAAACAGCTTATGGGAAAAGGAGGTTTATTTGGTGTGCCAGCTGGGTGTTTTTTTTTTTTTTTTTTCCTGTTATGTCAATTTGATACAAGCTAGAATCATCCAAGAGGAGGGAAGCTCAGTTTAGAAAGATTGGGCTGTAAGCAAGCCTACCGCAAGCATTTTCTTGACTAAGGAGGGCAAGTTCATTGTAGGTGAGGCCACCCTGGGCTGGGGGTTCTGGGCTCTGTCAGAAAGCTGAGCAAGCCGTGAGGAGCAAGCCAGTAAGCAGCACCCCTCCACAGCCTCTGCATCAGCTCCTGCCTCCAGGTTCCTGCCCCGCTTGAGTTCCTGTCCTGACTCCCTTGGATGATGAGCAGTGATGTGGAAGCATAAGCCAAATGAGCCCTTTCCTCCCGAACTGCTTTTGGCCATGCTTCTTTACAGCAAGAGGAACCCTAAGTAAGACATTTGGTTAACAAATCCAGGTGACAGGCCGTCAGATCACAGAAGTCACAATGAAAAGAGCTCAACGCAACTAGTCACAAACAGCCACAGCCAAGAGCATGCAGGAATGAATGCACGCTTGCTCCTCTCTTACACAGCTGAGGACCTCCCGCCTAGGGAATGGTATCGCCCAAAGTGGGCTAGGTCTTCAAGCGTCAGTTTATTTTCTCAGATGGCTCTAGGTGTGTCCTGTTGACAATTAAAAAATAGCTTCCCACAGGATCAGCTGCAGAGCCGAGTGAGGACCCCCGGGGTGTTTCAGGTAAACAGAGCACAGGTTCCCTCCCGGCCAACTCATTTTGGTGATCATGAGGCAGAATCCGGGGGACCAGAGGGGCCAGGAGGGGTAGCAGGGACTCCGGAGAATACAATGGAGAGCATCCTGTGTGAAGACTTGAAGCTGAGTAGGGCAGCCACCCATGCTGACCTCTGGCTCCGAAAAGCTGCTGTCAGGGGTAGCCGGGACATGGTGGTTCTCTGCATGGAACTTGGGGCCCAAGTAGACATCTGAGTCTCCTCTCTCCTTGTAGACTCCTACGTGAGCAGTGGATCCGTGCCAAGTATGAGAGGCAAGAGTTCCTTCATGTGGAGAAGCAGGAACCATATTCAGCAGGTGAGCTGTGCCCTTCCCAGTCTCAGGCTGGCTCAATGTTTCAATCGTGCGGTAGAGTCTTTTTCTGGTGCCTGTGGAGGTCGCAGGTCTGAGACCATCCTCTCCCCTGCAGGGGCATCAGGAGGGCTGTGGGCTGATGTGGGGAGCTGAAAGGGGCTGCTGTGGGCCAGACTCCCCATATCGGTAGAGGTCAGTGGCCACTGCCTCCCCTGGGCCTGTTGGTTCCAGTGGGTTCTGGGGCTTTGTGGAGAAGCCCTTATGGGACCATGTAGCAGAGGACAGGGCTATTTGAGCATTCAGGAGCTCAGCTCCCCGTCACTCACTTGGTTGATGGGCTACTGACTGGTATTATCTCATCTAACCTCTTGCCTGCTTCCGTGGGACCTTCAGCCTCGACTGGCTAGGCATCTCGATGACTGTATAAGTGGTATATGATGGGCATTGGTCCTGGGGCCTGGACCGTGGCTCCCTGGACAGCTCTACAAGACTGAAGTGTCTTAGTTAAGATTTCTATTGCTGTGAAGAGGCACCATGACCACGGCAACTCTTATAAAGAAAAACATTTAATTGGGCTGGCTTACAGTTCAGAGGTTTATTGTCATGGCAGGGACAGGCAGACATGTCATGGAGGCGTGCAGGCAGACATGGTGCTGGAGAGGTAGCGAGAGTTCTACATCTGGACCTGCAGGCAGCAGGAAGAGAGAGAGAGACACTGGGCCTGGCTTGAGCATCTGAAACCTCAAAGCCCATCCCAAGTGACACACTTCTTCCAACAAGGCCACACCTCCTCCCACACCTCCTCATAGTGCCACTCCCTGTGAGTCTAGAGGGGGACGGTTCATTCAGACCACCGCACCATCTGTCACTCTCCACAGGGCCGAGTGAGGACCCCCAGGGTGTCTGAAGCTTATCTCCCAGGTTCTTCTGGCTTTTTCTAGGTGATGTGATCTCCAGTTGCAGAGGTGGGCTGCTTCTGTGGCTTTGCCCTGGCCTAGGGCCAGCATAACCACTTTATTTTCTGTGGCTCACACTGTAGGGCTGGCTGAGAGGACCCTTCATTTGGCAGCTTCCATTGCCCTGTTCTGTCCCACTGTGCAGGAGGGCTCCGTCTGTCTGTGAGGCCTCAAACCTGGTGTAGGGACTGTATTATTCAGGGTTCTTCAGAGGAACAAAACTGATGGAACGAATGTCTCTATATAAATATAAAGAGATTTATTAGAATGGCTTATAGTTTGTGGTCCAGCTTGTCCAGCAATGGCTGTCTACCAACAGAAGGTCCAAAAATCCAGGGTGCCTCCGCTGGCTTTCAGTATACTCCAGAATCCTGAAGCAGGCTCTAATGCCAGTGAAGGAATGAACTTGCCAGGAAGCGTGAGAGAAAGCAGGCAGAGAGAGCAAGCTTCCTTCCTGTCCTTTCCGTAGGCTGCCAGCAGAAGGTGAGGCCCGGATTTCAGGTGGATCTTCCCACCGCAAACTCCCTCGATTTAGGGTGGGTCTTCTGACCTTGAATGATCCAGTTAGGGAAAAGCCCTCCCTCAGGCACTCAGCAGCTTAGGAGTCGGCTAATGCCAGATGTAGTCGAGTTGACAACCCAGAACAGCCACCGCTGGGACCTTGGATGCAAGCACGCTTCCCTGCTTGCAGAGCCTGACCACCTGCTGGACAGGTGTGCTCCCCAAAACAGCGAAGCGACAAGCTGCTGTGTGTCGGAACAGTTCCCTCACTCTCCAGCGTCCAGCACAGAAGGTTGAGCCCCAAGCACGGTTGTCCACAGCGGAACTCCTGGGTAGCCACGAGGCAGAGGTGCCCTGATGGCTATCATCAGTGAGGGGAGAAATGGTACAGCCCCATGTTACAAGAATGAGAGGTTTGACAATCCTCTGCTGACACGAGCTCCGTTTTGGGGTGAGCAGAGTGTTCCTGAGCTAAAGGTGTGGACCCCGCAATACTGCAGCACGATGGTATTGGAGAACTGAACCTCAGTGGGAAGGGGTGATGTCTCACTGTTGAGAGAGGGCAGAAGGGCTGTGCACAGGTGCGTTCCCATTGCCCGCTGCCTCAGACCCTCCTCTCAGTCCTCCCAAAGCCGCTCAGCCACCCCTCCGAGACTCTGTTTGGGTTCGTCCTCTTGGGTCACCTGGAACAAGTGAATTGTGAGCAGGGCCGGGTGGGAGTGCTCCGCTTGCTTCTCCAGGAGAGAGGTGAGGGCCACGGTGCTGTATGCGGCAGTGGGGCCTTCTCCAGTGTCGGCCCGTCTCCTGCCTCACTCCTCGCCCACTCAGGGCCCAGCCACGTGCTGTGCGTCCTTGGCTGCCTGCCCCAGACACCAATGCCTTCACACCTGGTAAGGCTGCAGGGTCTGTGAAAGCGAACGAGCACCAGTCAGACCCAGAGTCCCAGTCCACATGCCTCCTCTTCATCACAAACACCTCAGTTATTTATTTAGTTATTTGTTTATTTTTGAGACAGAGTCTTGTTGTGTAGCCTTGGGTGGTCTGAAACGCAGATCTCTGCCTGCCTCTGCCTCGTGAGTGCTGGGGTTAAAGGTGTGGGCCAGCACAGCCTCCCACCTGAGCAGTTCATAACAGTGTATGACCTAATGTCAGAGGTGGCGTGGACTAAATGGTGGAAATGTCGCTGAATATATTGCCTCTGCTGTTATCAGTGCCCTCTGATTTTAATCACAGGTGCTCAGCTCAACTGAGAGTGTGCAAAACGGGGTGTGGATGGGCTCACATAAGTGTCGCTGTGGCAGGCATGGCTTGATCTAGGTTCTGATCAGTCCTGGCAAAGACTTGCTTTTGTGTCTCTGCCTCCTGGTTCTGCTTTTCTGGGTCAATGTCTGAGCCCTCTGGGGCAGCTTTGCTCTAGCTGGCCCAAGTCTGACCTCCTGTCCCAAGGGCTTGGAGGAGGGGGATGGGCAGAGCACATAGGTCAGAAGTCTCATCTCATTGGTCAGACTGGCCTGATTATGTGCTTGCCTGTCAGGATCGGGGAGATGGGGTGCCCAGGTCACATGCTTGCCTCTGGAGCCAGGCTGGTCCTGGCAGAATGGAGATGTGGATTCCAGAAGGGATGTGCACACAGGCCACAGAACCAAGGCAGGCTGCCTAGCAGGCACCTGAAGGTGTTTAGGGCTCAGTGCCAATCTCCAGGTTGTACATAGTGCTCAGGTGACAAAGTGGTGGCTCAGGGTCTCCCCAGGCTAGGTCCACCCAGAATCCTGTTAGCCCTCGGTGTAGCAGAGAAGCCCTCAGGAGAACAGGGGAGGATTTAAGTTCAAGGCCAGCCTGGACTACAGCGAGACTCTATCTCTTGTAAGAAAAGCAAGGATGGGGTGGGGAGAGACGGCTCATCCCAGAAGTCTTTCCCTTCTAAGTGTGAGGACACAGTTAAGCCATGGCTGTCTGGTACACAAGGCCTGGCCAGGCAGCACGGCTCTTGGGACTAACAACTGTGTGCACCCTTCATCTAAGCAGCGGGTGGAGGGGCGGGTTGCTCCAAATGAGTCTGTTAGCACGGCAGAGTGGGGAGGCGGAATTCAGCAGTGAGGAGCCTGACTAAGGGCCCAAGAGCAGAAGGAAGAGATGTGAACAGACTCCAGTGCTCAGAGCTAACATGCTGGCGACCAGCAGCGCCTGAGAGGGAGGAGCAGAAGGCGGCCCTGTGGTGTCAGGGTGCTTCCCTGAGCATCCTCTGTCTGGGACTGGATACCGGCGTCTAAATGGGGTCTGATGACTCCCTCAAGGAGAAATAACGAGGTGGGCAGCCTCCCCGACTTGGGGCTCCTCCATGCTCTCGTGCCCTGCACTCCCAGCAGCACCCCAGCAGGGCTCAAAGATAGGACCCTAAGGGGACAGGACCCCAGGGGCTGAGGATCCCCACATGTTTACGTTTTTGGAAGGAGGGTTCTGGGTTTTGGAGGCAGGGTCTCTATGCGGTCCACACTGGTCTGGCAGCCTGCACTGGTCTCTAACACACCATCCCTTTGGCTCAGCCTCCCCAGAGCTGGGATTGTCGGCACGCACCACCCTCCAGGCCTGTTCCCTTTCTTTAAACAGCTTTTCACTGTGAGCTGCTTTCCTTCTTGCCCCACCATACTTTGAGACCTAAGGGGTACCCTCTACCCACTCTCACACCACAATGTCACCTCAAGATTGTGACTCAAGGCCACAGTCTCCACACTCAAGGGCCTGGCAGGCAGTGAGAAGGCCACTGGGAGCCTCTGGCTACCAGAGGACCCTAAATGCCTTCATCACATCCAACCTGCTCTTACAGTGACCTCTTCCTCTTAACACCAACTCAGGTGCCCCTCCTGGCTTCCCACAGGGCAGTGGGGCCTCAGGATGGCTCTAATCAGCCTTATTTCCCTCTTTACTTTCCCTCTCTATGCTCTCCTTTCAGGGCTTGGACTGGAACCCAAGCATGCCAGCTAAATCCTCTACCACTGAGCCATACCCCAGCCCCTAACTGGGGAATTCTAGGCAGGTGACCACTGAACCACACTCCAGCCCCTCACTGGGGGATTCTAGGCAGGGGCTCTACCACTAAGTCATACCCCCCCTCTCACTGGGGGATTCTAGTCAGGGCCTCTACCACTAAGCCACACCCCCCACCCCTCACTGGGGGATTCTAGGCAGGTGACCACTGAGCCACACCCCAGCCCCTCACTGGGGGATTCTACACAAGGGGTTTTACTCGCCCCTCCCAACCAGTCCCCAGCCTCGGTCCCCTCCTCTTACCACAAGCATTGTCTCACGCAGGGCAAAGACACTGCCTATCCTTGGGAAATGCAGAAGTCTCCTCAGATGGAGAAAGGGGAAATGTGGGGCCCCAAAAGAGGTGAGGCCAGGACTCTTCAGAGGAGTGGCCCCAAGCCTGCCCGGAATGAACCAGAACTGTGGGTTCCCGGGGCTGGCTCCTAGATGCCTGTGATCATGCACAGACAAGCAGGCCTGCATGGTTACTGGGGACTGAGAGGGCTGAGGCAGCCAGCTGAG